CAGGGCTTCCAAAAACCCTTTGCCAGCCACCCATGTCGGGGCTTCCAAAAACCCTTCGCCAGTCACCCAGGGCTTCCACAAACCCTTCGCCCATCACCCATGGCTGGGCTTCCACAAACCCTTTGCCAGTCAACCATGGTTGGGCTACCACAAACCCTTCGCCAGTCACCCATGGCTGAGCTACCACAAACCCTTTGCCAGTCAACCATGGTTGGGCTACCACAAATCCTTCGCCAGTCACCCATGGCTGGGCTAACACAAACCCTTCACCAATCACCCATGGCTGAGCTACCACAAACCCTTTGCCAGTCAACCATGGTTGGGCTACCACAAATCCTTCGCCAGTCACCCATGGCTGGGCTAACACAAACCCTTCACCAATCACCCATGGCTGGGCTACCACAAACCCTTCGCCAGCCACCAATGTCAGGGCTTCCAAAAATCCTTTGCCAGTTACCCATGGCTGGACTACCACAAACCCTTCGCCAGTCACCCATGGCTGGGCTAACACAAACTCTTCGCCAGTTACCCATGGCTGGGCTTCCACAAACCCTTCGCCTGTCACCCATGGCTGGGCTTCCACAAACCCTTTGCCAGTCACCCATGGCTGGGCTTCCACAAACCCTTCGCTTGTCACCCATGACTGGGTTTCCACAAACCCTTTGCCAGTCACCCATGGCTGGGCTTCCACAAACCCTTCGCTTGTCACCCATGACTGGGCTTCCACAAACCCTTTACCAGTCACCCATGGCTGGACTACCACAAACCCTTCGCCCGTCACCCATGGCTGGGTTTCCACAAACCTTTTACCAGTAACCCATGGCTGGGCTTTAAAGATCCCTTTGCCAGTCACCCATGGCTGGGCTTTAAAGATCCCTTTGCCAGTCACCCATGGCTGGGCTAACACAAACCCTAAGTGTTCTCACCAGACTTGTGATATGAAATATTTGAAAGTTTTTACTCTGAGACATATTGTCTCACAACAATGTAAGAAAACTGTCAATATTTATTAGTGGAGAATAAAATACTTCATTTCTGTCTGTCTGTATTTCCACATAGATTGGTAATTGTCTCATATTTTCTAAACTGATAGAAAAATTCCACACAACAAATTTAATTTCTAGTGAGAACACTAAATCTGCTATAATTAATATTGGGATAGTTGTTGTTCTATGGTATGAAAGGAAATGGCAGTCTTATTTTGAAGCCTCCCTTAAAGATTGATTAAGATACTTAAATAATATGCACACCAAAGTACGAAAAATCAATTGTTAATATAAAGCTAATGTAAATTTTAAAACAAAACATTCATTATGCAGCATACGTTCAAATGTTGTGCACATTTCATGTATCAAACGCAATAAGGCGCATTAACTGCGTCACTTTAACATAAAACAAAATGTTAGTATCAGCTGTTTATAAAAGCGGTAACACAATGTAAGAAGTTCGCATCACTCCCTTACCTGGTGGTAATACTGAAGAAATGGTGGGGGATTAAAAAAGAAAAAAAAGAAAGAAAAACAAAAGAACAGAAAAGGGGAAATGTTAGGAGTCAAAATTAGAATAATGTTTGAAGCAATCAACAAAATAAATGTATATGAACCAGTTTACAAGCGTTTCTATTGGAGGTGTTACAACGAGCACAAACAGTTTTAGTAGTTAAACCTATTCCTAAATGTTGATATTTCATCTATTCGAAAAGCATGCATCATTAATTGAAACACACATGTGCCAGGGTTTGCATTCAACGACCTCTAGTATTGTCACACTTTAACCTTTTGACCTTTAACCCTTTGTCTCTTTAATCCTTTGAACACCAGTCACATTTTGTCACACTAAAAAAAAAATGCCTAGTTTTTTTTTTTAGAAGTTTTGATCAGGAACTGTAGATAACAGAGAATAGTGTCTATTCAGTCCAAAATAAACAGGAAAATTACAGGAAAATACAAAAACAGTGTATAATTTTTTGTAGCAACATTATGGTGTTCAAAGAATAAACTCTACAAATATATCCCTGAATCCACGTTATTAAAGAAGGCATCTCAGTTTAGACATGTCTCATTTGTGATACAGAGCAACAGAATAATTTTTTCAAAACATCTGCACTTTTTAATTGGGACATAAAATTGCTGATGTAACTCATGATAGTTATCCATATACTATATTTGTCTATTACCATGCCCATCCAAACCCTATCCCCATGGGAGTTTTTTCAGCAGGTGGCCAGAAACGCTTTCCATTTAATTATGAGTCAAGAAACAATCTAGTGCAGATCAAAGTTTTCAGAAAAGTGCCGTTTTCTAATTCAGAAGTAATTTTTGGAACATTGCAATCTTTCCTGGCACCTAAATTACAGTCAAATTTATATTCAGAAATATTATGTAAAATTCACTAACTAACTGTGAAAAGTGTTAAATACTTCAATGATAAGTTTATCTTCTGAAAATTACTAATTTCATGCAGTTTTGTCATCGAAATTAATATAATAATCACACTGCAACATTGATAAATCATTTCCTTGTTGCGATCACCTGCGTCGATATTTCGAAATTCCCGACTTTCTAGTTGTTGTACCAATATGACAGAGAATTTCAACTGTACGTATTAACGGTTTTGTAAAGTACGGCAGGGTTTACTCGATATTCCAGGATCATCAGGTTCCAAAGGACGAACATTTCGTTTAAGTTCTACAAGTTTGCAGTTTGGGCATTACGGCATTTATGCATGCTCCTGGTGGAATTTACAAAGTTCATACAAACTTTCTTCAAACTAAGATTATTCAAGATGTTGCGCCTTGAACATTCCAAAACAACCCCACTCACGGTGTGCCCGTACACGTTCAAACCTTAAAATGGTCACGCAAATGAGCAGCCATTAGAAATTCAAAAGTCAGGAATTGGTTAATAACGACTATAACCTATAGGTTCAAAGGACACAGTTTCAGGTAAACCTGTATATGAAAACATAAAAAGGTGGATATTCTTTTACGTTGAGAGTTGCAAAAAGACTGAAAACATTTGCCTACAATGGAAATAAGTTGAATTTTACTTAGATTTCACAACAAGCCAACAAATTGATTTATTTGTACGCTAATTCTAATCACAACTAAGTAATACTGGTAATCAACGCTTGAAACAACTTGAAAACAAGTGAGTTATTCGTCTGTTAAATAACGCGACAGGATTACACTACTATACTAAAGCAATGCGTTCTTGTTTGGTTTTACTTAAGAGTTATTCAACTATGCTTTTCATGGCCAACAAAATTAAAATCAATTATTACATTAAAATTATTTTGTGTTAGGCCAGACTTTTATTATCCCTTGTTTCGCAAACCCGCCGAATGAACAGAAGCCGAAAATGTAATAAAAATAAAATTTTATTTCAGCTTAATTTCTCACGCCCGCCGACTTGTAAGTGCAAAAAATTGCTAAAAAAACTTATTTTTATCTTCATTTTTTTTTTTCGCCCACCACATAACAAACCCAAGTTGCATTTTCATGAGAGTATCATGATCAAAGTACAAAAGTCTTGCGCAGATGAGAATCAAGGTTATACATGGAATAAAATTTTATTTCATTTTTTTCTCTCCGATCAATGATCTCACTTACAGTTCTTTCGCCCTCCTCAAAAAAATTGCCTTATAAAAACTTGAGAAACAAGGAATAAAAAAAGTCTGGCCTTATCATGAATATATTTTTGATATCTTTACAATCGTAGGTGACCACACTGGTTGTAAAAACACTCCTAACACCACCGCAAAAATATGACCATTCCCCCAAAAGGTCGCCAAGGGCATTGCATCAGACAAATATGGTAAAATAATTTATCACTTGGGTATTCTATTAATAAACATGAATAAACAAGTTTTACAGAGTACCATAACTAAAACAAAAATGAGTGAGGCAGGACAACTTTAGAAATTATTATGAATAGCAAAGTATTGCGGTTTTGTGTGTGAGTGTTTGTTTTGAGTCTGCGACTTAGTTAGCAGTGAGTGAATGTGTGTGTGCGAGTTAGTGAATAGTGAGTGAGTAGTGAGCAGTGAGTTAGTGGCAAGTAAGTGCGAGTAAATAACAGCCGTAGTTTAATTTTTATTTTTTTATTTAAGTTAAGGGAAGAGGTAGGTGGGTATAATGCATACTCCACTTAACCCAAAACCTGATGACAAAACCTATATTTCTTAAAAATTGCTTCTATAATAGATTTAAATTTACCATTAATAATACGCACACATACACACCAGTGAGTAAGAGTGATTAAAAGTAAAGCCATATGTAAGCAAGCCAGTGTATGAATGAAAACAGGTGTACACGTGATTGAGAGAGAGCTGATCAGCTTATCGTACCACTCAATATCTTACCGGTGTAAGCTGTTGTTGCTGTAAAAGAGAGTTTAGGTGCTGTTGTTGCATCATCATCTGTTGTCTCTGATGTTCTCTCATGTGATGTTGCTGTTCTTTGGTTGCTTGGCGGTCCCCATAT